TCCAACCAGTGGAATAACTGGATTATATGGAATTTCTATGTTCAACTTTTTGATGAAATGACAAACTGCCTTCCAGAGTGGTTGTACCATTTTACAGTCCCACCAATAGTATATGAGAATTCTTATCTCTCCAAATCTTCTCTAGCACGATTATTTGCTGTCCTATATCTGTGTGCAGAACAGATCATCCAAGACGCTGGGCTGTAGGAGGAGGAATGTAGCATCATGATTGGTGGAAGAATCATCAACAACCTGCATTATGCAGATGACACAACCCTGCTCACTGAAACTGAGGAGGACCTGAAGCACTTACTGCAGAAGATCAAGGACTACAACCTCCAATATGGATTGAAGCTCAATATCAAGAAAACAAAGATTCTCACCACTGGGCCAATTGGCAGCATCAGTAAGGATGGTGAAGAGATTGAGATAGTTAACAGTTTTCGTTTACTTGGCTCCACAGTCAACACTCTTGATAACAGCAGCAAGGAAACCAGGAGACGAATTGCATTGGGAAAGTCAGCTGTGAGGGACCTCTCAGGAGTACTGAAGTGCAACAACATCAGGCTGGAGACTAAGGTGCGCCTGATCCAGGCTATAGTCTTTGCAATTATGTGCTATGCATCAGAGAGTTGGACAGTGACTAGTGATGATAGAAAGAGAATTGATGCCTTTGAGTTGTGGTACTGGAGAAGAGTGTTGAATATACCATGGACTTCTAGGAGAACAAACAGGTTTGTCCTGGAGAGGGTGAAGCCAGACTATTCCCTGGAGTCAAGGATTCTAAAGCTTCGTCTGATATACTTTGGGCATGTTGCAAGGAGGGACTGGTCCTTGGAGAGGGATATCATGTTTGGGAGAGTGGAGGGACGGCGCAGGAGAGGAAGGCTCTCGATGAGATGGATCGATTCTGTGAGTGGAGTGGTGGGGATGAATGTGTTTGAGACAGCGAGGTTGGCACTGGGTAGAACGGCGTTTAGGGCTATTGTACATAGGGTCGCTATGAGTCGCAAACAACTCGATGGCACATAACAACAACCACAACAATAGGCTTTGCCACTGCTACTGGGGTGAGATGATATCTCATTGAGGTTTGATGTGCATCTGTCTTATTGCCAGTGATTTTGAGCATTAGAAGTACTTTGTATATTTAGTTATTTAACTAATTACTACTTTTAGTTATTTTAATTTTATTATGAAAATTTTTACACGTGGGAAAAAGTTGAAAGACTTGAAAAGTAAAGATTTATATATTACTCCTATTTTCTACCACTAACGTTTTCCTTGTTTGCTTTATGCCTATCTATCAAAGCATTCCTCCATCCATCTAACAGGTCTTTTTACTTTAAATTAATTTCTTAGTAAGTTACATGTATCAGTACACCTCACCTTTAAATTCTTAAGCAATAATATTGTGAGATAGAGCTTAACGTGTGTGTGTGTGTGTGTGTGTGTGTGTGTGTGTGTGATATGTCAGAAGAGACTCTGAAAATTACACTGGAGCGCAGAGAAGCCAAAGCACAAGGAAGAATTTAAGATACTAAAGAGTTGAATAGAAGATTTCAAAGGGCAGCATGGGATGACAAAGTAAAATATTACAATGAACTGTGCAAGGAGTTGGAGTCAGAAAATCAAAAGGGCCTAATTCGCTCAGCATTTGTTAAGCTCAAGGAACTGAAGAACAAATTCAAACCTCGAGTTGCTATAATCAAGGATGCTTTGGGCAGAATATCAAATGATCCAGGAAGTATTAAAAGAAGATGGAGAGAATATACTGAGTCACTGTATCAAAAGAAATTGGCAGA